AAAGGGTAACTTCCTGGTGTTGGTACAGAGGGATGGAGGCCAGTAATTTATAAGTGATCCTAATCCCAAAATTGGGGGCCAGGAGCAGCTTCCTCTTCACAGGAGTTTGGGGGTCAGATTTCCATGAGGAGGTGGAGAGAGTGTTCAGTGCAGTTTACCATGGAGCTGGCATTGCAGAGGGCACTGGAAACTTGTAGGTGAGTGGAGCAAAGGAGAACAACAGAGTGGGAGATGAGATGGGAGGAAATGGATGATCCAGGGGCTTGTATTTTGTAGGTAGCTAAGAGGGTGGAAGGTACAGTGTTTAATTCTCACAACCTCTGGTTTTCCTTCTGCCTCTTTTTACTGCTTTCTCCTTTTCCACTGGGAGCTTTTCTGTATTCATACTGTTACTTCCACCACGCTCTTCTTCTGCCTCATTGACCTATCCCCCAGCCCTTTATCAGTCCTCCCTAGCAAGCCCAACTCTTGCTTTGCCAATATCCTTTGAGAGTTGCCTTGTGGAGTTGACTTTCCTCTTATACCTACCTGGCAAAGTCTGACCCCCAGGTGCACACTTTAAGTCTATATCCACACTGCTAAGCATACCTGGAGAAAAATCACATAGTTGCAGAGTTGAGAGTTGCCTTAATTTCCTAATCTGCAGCTTCGTCCAGTCTCTCAGCACTGCCTAGCAATTCCCCCTTTTCCTTAGGCAGCATTCTTTTTTCATAGTGGCTGCTTTGCTTTTCTAAACCCCTTCTCTGCTACCCCAGCCACACCTATTCTCTGCAGATGGCCTTGCCACAATTTTCACAGAGCAAGATCACCTCAGCTTTCTGCCATCTAACCTGTTTGTTCCCTGCCTTTTTTCTGATTATGACCAGGTCTGTCCCATCTTTAAAACTATCCACCCGTATACATACCTCTCCCTCAAGCCCATATTCCTTGCTCATTAGCATCCCATCTCCTTTTCCTCCATAGCTAAACTTCTTAAAATTTATCTGCTCTTCCTTCCCTTCCATTAGTCTTCAGCTTGCTTTGCTACATTGGCTTCAGCTCCATTGTTCCTCTGAAGCTCCCCTTGCCAAGGTCATCCATGATTATCTTATTGCTGATTCTAGTGGGCTCTGCTTAGTCTGTCTTCTTATCTGACCGCTCAGTTGGGCAATGTTAAGCACTTCTTCCTAGAAATGCTCTTTGGTGTCCATGGCCTCACATCTTTGGGTTTTCTTCCTACCTCATGCTTTCCTTTGAGTGCTCCCCTTCCCCTCCTACCTCTTAATTATTGGTGTTCATCAGAGTTTTGTTGTAGGTCCCCTGCACTCTTCTGGATGACCTTTATTCTCCTACCTGTTGCTGAGGACTTAACAAGTCTATGCTGCCAGACCTCTGACCTGAGCTTTAGAACAGTACCTACAACTGCCTGTTGGACATCTTAAAGGCACATTATCATCATGTCCTAAGCAACCACCCTCAGCTTTCAGCAGTGCACTGAAGGGCATTGTAACTCTGTCCAGTTACCCAAATCAGAAACCTAAACATCATTTTTGACTTACTGTGCTCTTTCATTTGCCTGATTCTTAACATTACTAATCCTCCACACATAGACACACACAGAATATTTCTCATTTTGTTCTTTCCCAAGTCCAGTCGTTTCTCACACAGGAAACTACAGCAGTCTAACTGGTTTCCTTGCCTCCAGTATTTCCTGTCCTGCTATCAGTTTCACCTCCAAAAGGAAATTCTTTAAAACGCAAAACCAGATCATGTCACTCACTCCTCCGCTTAAATCCTTCAGTGGCTTCCTGCTTCTCAAGGTAAAGTCCAAACTCTTTACCATGATCTGACCTCTGCTGACTTTGCCTACTTTGTTTCTCGTTAGTCTTTTAGTGCCATTACTTCAAATCTCACCAAACTTTTCCACCCTAAAGCAGTGGTCCCCAACCTTTTTGGCACCGGGGACCGGTTTCATGGAAGACATTTTCCATGGACCTGGGGGATGTAGGGGATGGTTTTGGAATGATTCAAGTGCATTACATTTATTTTTCAGTCAAACCTTTCTGCTAATGATAATCTGTATTTCAGCCACTCCCCAGTGATAGCATCACCACCTCAGCTCGACCTCAGATCATCAGACATTAGATTCTCACAAGGAGCGCACAACCTAGATCCCTCGCATGTGCAGTTTACAGTAGGGTTCGTGCTTCTATTAGAATCAAATGCCCCTGCTGATGTGACAGGAGGCGGAGCTTATGCAGTGATGCAAGCAATGGGGAGCGGCTGTAAATACAGATGAAACCTCCCTTGCTTGCCCTGCCACTCACTTCCTGCTGTGCTGCCCTCACCTCCTGCTGTGTGGCCACAGTTCCTAACAGGCCACAGACTGGTAGTAGTCCATGGTCCGGGGAATGGGGACCACAGCCCTAGAGAACCATGAAATGTTTCTTATGCTACTTACCTTCACCTGTGTCTACTTTTCCCTGCAAACTCAGCTTTCTTGGTCACCCTCAAGTCTGGGAATGAGCCTTCTCTGTCAGAGCAGTTTTCAAGCAATAGTGCAACGGATTGCTTTGTATTGTCCCTGAATATATTATAGATTCATTGAGGGTAAAGACTATACCTGTCTTGTGTACTATAGTATTCCTAGCACCTGGCACAGTGCATCGCATGTTACAAACAAGTATTTATTGTAGGTACAAACAGATGAAGTAGACAGTGTTAGACTGCTTGAATTATTGAATATGGAGAAGTTGAAGGCTTTAAAAAAGAGAGTGTCAATTTGTATTCCTCCCTAGCAGTGCAGTTGGAACAGTGTGCGTGATGATAGCCATAACTAAACCACTAAAGTAGAAATCGGATAAAAGACTTAGCCACAAGCAAGGTATTGGGAGTCAGAGCAAAAATCTAGGTTTTCCAAAGCTAGACTTAACCAAACTCCATTTAAGCAACCTCCCTAGATTTAACAAAACTGGGTTTTGTCTGGCAAATGTCACCTTTTGTATGCTTGTAGAGTTCAACATAAGTGCCTACTGCCAGTGCCACATAGGATCCTATCTAGCTTACAAACCCATGCAGACTGCAATATAATCTCCATCACTAGCTGTAGCTAGAAGCTGTTCTAAGCTTTTAAATCTTTTGTTGTCTCATATGTGTATCATTTTCAGCTGGAAAAAAAAGGTAAAAATAATGTTAATTGTGAAAAAGACCCATAATCATATTCAAACTCGATTACTTTTCATGTTTTTACCCAGCACCTACATATTTTTATAGTGTTATACGTGGTACTTTTTATGTTATGTACACATTTTCCCAAGTTTCTGCATAGCACTGCGGTGAATATCTTTAGATATCATGACATTTTGCTTATTTAAAGGCTTTTTCCTTAGGGGTAAATTCTCAGGTCAGAGGGTGTAAAAATTGTGAGGTTTGCTTTGAGTCTGTCTATAGCTTTCCAAAAGGGTTCCACTAAAAGTTAACAGGAGTATGAAATTACAAGGTTTCTCAATGACCTGGAAGCATTGGATTGAGCGAAGGGAGCAGAGAGGGAGTTGTATGTGTAAAGTTTTGTTTTCTTTAGATTGGCTTAGTTTATATTAGGTTTCACGAAGAATTTTTTTTAATATGGAGAAATAATTTTCTGTCAGATGACAATATATTTAAATAAAAATACCCCTTTAGGCCGGGTGCAGTGGCTCACACCTGTAATCCTAGCACTCTGGGAGGCTGAGGCGGGCGGATTGTTTGAACTCAGGAGTTCGAAACCAGCCTGAGCAAGAGCAAGACCCCGTCTCTACTAAAAATAGAAAGAAATTAATCGGACAACTAAAAATATATAGAAAAAATTAGCCGGGCATGGTGGTGCATGCCTGTAGTCCCAGCTACTCAGGAGGCTGAGGCAGTAGGATCACTTGAGCCCAGGAGTTTGAGGTTGCTGTGAGCTAGGATGATGCCACGGCACTCTAGCCCAGGCAAAAGAGTGAGACTCTGTCTCAATCAATCAATCAATCAATCAATAAAAATACCCCTTTAGAGTTAATGAAAATTTGTACCTGTAGCAACTCTGTTATTCTGTGTTAATTCCTAGATATTCTAAAATTCATCCTTTTAAGTCAGAACATTCAGGAGCTGGGTACACAGGCCGAATTATTTTAACTCTTGCTAGAATTGTTTTAAGAGCTATATATTTTGGTGCTATGCCATTAGCCTTTATTGAGAGAGAGTTCTGTGAAGCTCATGTTTTCTGTGATGTTGGGAAATGTGTTTTACTGCATCACATAATATGCGCTTTATGAATACCCTTGTGAAAAAGTCCTTATATGCCCCAGTGCCACAAACTGTTGTGCTTTTCCAGAGTATGTGGTTTGTTTCTGTCTAAGGAGAACTGTCAGCAGTGTACAGGTTATGTTTCAGTTGCTCAGAGCCAAAATCATGATTTACGTGTAGCCTTTCCTTTTAGATACAGTTTTGGGTCAAATTTCGTCAAATCTGTGTTACTTTAGAGAGAAAAATGTTAAATCTTTCACAAAGCATCCTAGTATACATATGGTATTAATGATTACTTCTTTTATTATTCCATTTATGCCTTTCAGCTTTTTTGGTTTAGGATTTTATTTGTTAAAATGATAAGCAATGGAGAACCCCATTGCCCTCTAGGTGATTATGCAGGTCATTTAAAAGCTGACTGGAGTTAAGTGCAAAAAGTATTACAGAATTAAAGTATGTGGTACCATTGCATTTCATGTATATATATAAGGGGAGAGAGTGAGAGACTTTGAGGTTATACTTTTATGTACTGCTAAGTTGTTGGAATACATGCCATGTGTATTTTTTAAAGATCAATTAAAAAAAAAAACTGCCCCAGCTTATTTGACGTGGGTAACAGTTTTGCTGTGGCAAGCTCTCATAGAACTATTCTGTATCTGTGACTGAACCTGGATGATAAATCTATCAGTGAGTTGTTTCTGCCATTTATAAGAAATCAAACTGTAGTGCATGTTTTTTCTCCCCTTCTCTCTTAGGTCATTTGGATCCAGGATTCCTGGCAAGTGACAAAACATCTGCCGGCAATGCACCACTCAATGAAGAAATTAATATCGCCTCTTCAGACAGCGAAGTAGAGATTGTGGGAGTTCAGGAACATGCAAGGTAGGATATTCATTGTAGTATTCTGATACTTTTTTATTTTACTCTACTGTTATACTAACAAGGATCTGATATTTTAAATTGTAAATCTTATTTTAACTAGAAAACAAGCAATAAAAAAATTGTAGACCTCATTCATGGCTGGCATGAAGGGTGAGAGCTAGCTGTCAGCTTTCTTTGGCTTAAGAAACATTTTTTTGTTTAGACATGTTATGAGCCTCAGAATGTGTTATATATCATCTCGTATTAAGAACTTCTCAGCCATACGTGTGTGTGAACTAGAAATGACATTTTTTATTTTAAGCAAATGTCTACATAGCTTAACAGACTTTTCTCTTAAGGCAGAAGCATCATTGTACTTTCCCCCCTCTCATTCATACTTTTTTACCTTTCACTTTACCTTGAAGTAAGTAGGGAGCAAACATTTGGGAAATGTATACCTGACGTCATACCTCTTTGTCCGGTTTCCTAGATTACCTCTCCTTGTCTTTCATTAAAAGCAAACTTGCAAGTTATTTTGCTCTGTTCTTACAGAGTGTATTTCTAGTGATGTTCATATGACTAAGGGAGTCCTGTTTCTTAGGATTAAAAAGAAAGCCACAAGACATCAAATTAGTGTGCAGTATTATGAAAATAATTTATGAAGTTTGCTGTTCTTCAAGGTAGAGGTCAGCAAACTATGGCCCATAAGCCAAATCTGGCCTGTTGACTGTTTATATGTGGACCATAAGCTAAGGATGGTTTGTTTTTACATTTTTAAATGGTTAGGTGAAAAAAATCAAACAAAGTATGATATTTTGTGACGTGAAAATTATATGAATTCAAATCTTAGTGTCTGTAAATAAAATTCTTTTGTAACTGAACCATGCTTGTTGATTTTACATATCATCTATAGCTGTTTATACACTCCAGAGGCAAAGTTGAATAGTTTCAACAGAGATTGTATGACCACCCCCTCCTTAAGCCTAAGATACTTACCATCTGAAAAGTAAATACCTTTGCAGAAAAATTTGCTGACTCTTGCTTTAAGGTATGTTCATAAGAATTGCTTACAACCCTCTCAGAAGTGTTCTTCTGGAATATTTCTCACACACACCCCAAAAATTTAGAACTTGTATATTCTGTGTAGCAAACAACTTCTCTCTCATGCCACAAGGGTTCAGTTGTGATTTTCTGATAAATATGTTCGTAACACAATATCTTCATTACCTTGCTCTTTATCTGATTTTATTCTTTGGTTGTCCAGGTAATAAAACACATTTACCAGCATTTTTTCTATTTCTTTTATAAAAGATGGATTTAGAAGTATGAAATGGGGGTGAAATACAGATGCATATAAATTGAGGGTACCTTTATTCTAGTGAGACCCAGTTTTACTTTCTGAGAGCATTTTTCAGTTAAGTAATTGGAACTTTAAGGATGTTGATTTGACTCATAGTTTAACATGCTATCTCTCTGAAAGTGGCGAATTCTTGTCTTTATCAGAACTAATATTGTCCTAGCACTTTGTCGTTTACTCTGTTTTTATGCCCTTACTATGCCTGCACGGCTGCTTCCTTTTTTTTCTCTTTTTTTTTAATGGTTATTTTGTCTATTCTGGTGGGAAAGAATTTTTCTTCTTCAGTCTTTATCTCATTTTTTTCTTTTTTTTCTGCCTTAATCAAACTTTTTTGCTATTAAATTCGTTTCCATTTTTCCATCTATTCTTTTCAAGCTGACTTATTCATCAGACGAGGAAGCTAGAACTACTGATTTCTTCCTTTACTTCAGCATTTGTTTGCCATTATTTTAGTTCACCACTATTCCTTACAATATAGAAGACATTATCCTAAGTCCCATGTTAGGATCTTTCTGGAATACTGTATTTTTTAATTTCAGGATACCTACTATGATACCTTAGCTATTGACAGATTGATGTGGGTCAGTTATCTTCAGTTGTGCCAGGAGCACATTATTCATTGACCAACTTCCTCTCGAGTTACATTTCAAATTTTAATTCATTGTACTCAGGTGTTCCCACTTAAGCAAGGAGTAGGTAATAACCTATATTATTTATCTAATTTCTTACTCTGTGCTAAGATATATTATTTGGTCCAATTCTCTATTAACTTCTACCATCTCCCTTTTTTTCATTTTCTTATGCCTAGAATTGTTACAGCATGAGCCACCCTTCTTTTTAGCTTCTTTGTTCTCTTTTCTTCCATCATGACATCTTCAGCTTCCTCTTTTTTTTAACCAATATTTTGGTATCTGGAGTTAAAATTATCATTATATTTCTATTAAAACTTAAATTCTGAGTCCTTCCCACCCCTAACACACACACACACACACACACACACACACACACACACACACACACACACACACACACACACGCCCCCCGGTCTCTCATGCCCTTCTTTGAACTTGTTAGGTCTTTTATATCTAGATTGTCAGTTTACTCATTTCACATATTTGTTCCACACTTGAACAAAGTCAAATGACTTTGGCTACATTTTAAATAACACAACATTATTTTCAAGCACTTTTTCATAGAGACACTGAAGCATTAAGCTGTGTTTTACTCTGATCTGTTGTTTGAATACTGGGGGAATCATATGTTGTAGGTGATGCTCATTCGGAAACCTCAGTGGTGATTAATACTGTACTAACAATGGAATGAATGTATAGAGTTTACAGATTCTTTTCAGTATTTTTAACTGAATCTTGTATCATTTTGAGAGTTCTCTTATTTTGGCCTTGGGTGTAAGGCAGAGTAGAGTCTCACTGACTGTTCTCTCTGAACATTTTTTCAACAGTTTCTATAAAAGTAGCCTGAAAATCTTACAAACATTGAGATTAAAAATCTGAGAATTGGGTAGGGGAAGAGGCTTTCTTGTTGGTCGTTGGTTGCTTCAGAATTGCCCATCTGGCTGCCTGTATCTCATTTGGAATTTATTTCTTTTACAGGTCTAAGGTTGCAGTTACGAAGTATTGATGTGCTTCTGGCAGGGTTATCGCTCGGAAAAGGTTTTAGGTTTTGATCCACATCTTTTTGTTCTAATTTGATTTGCATGTATACAGTAGATGTTTTGTTTGGATTTAGCTGTCCTGTTCTTATTTTTTCTTTTGATAAGTCTGCATTGTTATGGGCTTTCTGAGAGTTTTTAGAAACCCAGATTTGGTCCTGGAGTTGTTCTCTTTGGGATTGTGGTTACTCTGATTGTGTTGGGTGTCATTTTTCCATATCAGAAGCATTTTGTTTGGCCTTTGCACTCAGTATTTAAAGTTGTCATGTTGCCTCCCCCTCCCCCCCCCCCCCTTTTTTTTTTTGAGACAGAGTCTCACTGTGTTGCCCGGGCTAGAGTGCCGTGGCGTCAGCCTAGCTCACAGCAACCTCAAACTCCTGGGCTCAAGCGATCCTCCTGCCTCAGCCTCCCGAGTAGCTGGGACTGCAGGCATGCGCCACCATGCCCGGCTAATATTTTCTATATATTTTTAGTTGTCCAATTAATTTCTTTTTAATATTAGTAGAGACGGGGTCTCGCTCTTGCTCAGGCTGGTTTCGAACTCCTGAGCTCAAACAATCCACCCGCCTGGGCCTCCCAGAGAGCTAGGATTATAGGCGTGAGCCACCACGCCCGGCCCCCCTCCTCTTTTGATAAAATTGTTTTTCTTTTCTCGCATGTTAATATCTTTCCCTATTCTTTTAGATTCTGTTGTATTCACTTAGCTTTTGTGTTTCTCCTAGTGCTAGCCTAGAAAGCGTGCTTTCTGAGCTAATGGTTGAGTGCATCCTTTATGGCTGCCTTGTATTGCTGTGGTGAACTCCTGACCCAAGGCCAAATGTTATTTCCAAATGTTAATTTTTAGACAGTCTAATTTTACAAATGCTCTTTGCTAGTGAGATGGAGCCTTTCTTAACATCTCTAGTTCTTCTGTGCCCACTTAATTTCACCAGAAGTTTTAATTTACAACCCTCATGCCAATATTTATCTGTTTTTGTTCTTGGTCCTTTTTCTTTTTCCTCTTCTTCCAGCTTCATTGGTAATTGCTCTAGGAAGATGACTGCATATACTGCAGATCTTTTTCTTATGGAACTGTGTTGGGATAGTTCCTTTGGTACCTGTTCTGAGGCTTTTGTTAATAATCAGACTCTTACCTTATTTTAGTCTATTAGTCCTGTGGTCATTGGTATTAATATTGGCTCATTGCTCAGCAAAAGAATTGATGCAGGAAGCTTTTGCATTTAAGACTAATTGCTTCATAGAACCAGTTGCTAGCATTAATCCTAAAAGAAAAAGCTAGGGAGGCAGATGAGCATTTCCCTAAAATCACAAGGATTCATTTCATCTACAGTTAGGAAAAATAAGTAGGAATGTTATCTAAGAGGTCACCTTCAGGCTCTGTAAATGAGAGCAAAAATGATTAATTTTTAATGTTGTTTTCTTAGAATAGTAAGGTAACTATATCAAAAGCTGGCCATCAGAGCCTGCTCTCTTTTTGTGTTTTTTTCCTTCATTCCCACTGTGAAATCTCTCCTTTATTCATTTCAATGTATGAAGAACAGGAAATTATTCTATTAAGACTTACTGTTTATAAAGTGTTTTTTGTAACATTTTGGGAAGTGAGGCCTGGAACATCTTCTTGGTTCTAAAATGCAAAATGTGACTCTAAGTTGTGTTTCATACCTGCTACCAGTCACAGGCAGATTAAATGCTTTGTGAGAACAAGGACTGTATCTGCCCGAGAATTGGATTGGACCAACTGAAAACCAGCCAGCTATGCTCCCACCCCAAATCTTTCATAGTGCAGGAAAAGCATATGTGATAATGCATGAAATTCTATTTGTTATGTTAATTGCCTCACAAAATTTTGAGCCTCTCTCATTCTTCTTATTCTGTTCTCATCTAGCTATTATTCAATGTGGTCGAGGTCATTAAAACATAATATATTTTTTGAATGTTTTATTGGCTTATAACACACATAGAAAAGTCATAGTGTACACTTTAATTTTTGCAAAGTGCTCATACCCAAGTAACCAGTACTTAGATCAAACGAAGAATGGAAGTCCCACTGTGCCACTTTCCAGCCACAACTTCCCTCTTGTCTTTCCCCCTGTAACTGTCCTGACTTTTAAGAATAGTTTTGCCTATTTTCGAACAAATCTTAAAAGTCATTGACAACCTAAGAGGTCATCTTAGAATCTTCTTTAACATTCCTGACAGATGCCCCAGCAATTACTTGAGTATTTAAAAGGCAATTTATTCCATTTTGTAATGGCTGTAATTGTGTAGTAATGATCATCCAAAACTTGCCCTCCGGAAACTGATTCATGGTTCTTACTATGCTCTCAAGATCTCTGTGCAAGGTAGAGTAGCACCTTTCGTGGTGGCTGCCCAGCTCACAGTGATTCTCCCTTCGTTGGGAGCTGTCCTTCTATCGACAACTAATTAGAACCAGGAAAGCTTTTGGCCAAAGATAGGATCCTCACATTTTCCAGAGAATCTAAAATTTTAAAGTGAGAGAAATTGACTACGAGAGGGTTGGCACTTGTTCCATCATCCCTAGATTCTTTGACATGCTCCACTATCCTAATAAATTCCCCTTTTTACTTGAAGTAGCTTAAGTTGGTTTCCGGTAACTGAATCATTGGTAACATAACTACAGGAGTAGTCTCTTTAGATAGTTGTAGTGTCTCATCTCCTTGTTCTCTTTCCTTCAGCCTTTCATTAGTAGTACATATGGTCTCTAAACCTCTCATTCTCCTAGTTCTCTTCCTATACCAGACACTTTCTAGGATCTGCTTTGCTGTTTGTTGAATGCCCCTGGGAACTAGAGTGCTCCTCTCCATCAAACATAGTAGAGTACTTGAGGTATAGTCTGAGGGAGGCGTAGTTATGTAGTGGAAAATAAACCTGTGAGTGGAGACCTGATTTTGTTCTGCCTGGGCAGTTGTCTTTTGGCTCAGTTTTTTCTTCTGTAAAATGAAGATTAGATCAGACCCCCTTTAAAGCCACTGCCTGATGTTACATTGTATGATTACTTAGGGAGCAGTGCAGAGTAACAATTGGGACTATAAACCTTTTGTTTCAGAGATATTTCTAGGAATTCTGCCAAAACTTATATTGACTTTGTTTTGCCTGAATTCTTACTAAATGTTTAGCCAGCTTTAATCAGTGTTTGTACAGATGAGCTTTTGAACCGTTAGAGAACTTTATATTTTTATTTATGTTTTATTTTTGAAACGTTTTTACAATATATCTGTGTAACAAAACTTTATACTTTTAAATTGTTAGTCGGGGCCTATCTTGTCACTCTCATGACTCTCACTATATAATTTAATACACACTTCTGTAAAATAACAACATGATATGGAAAGTATTGGACCTGAAATCAGACCTGTCTCTATGGAAGTTCCTTGGCCTGCCACTTTCAAGCAGTATAGCCCCAGACAAATCATGTAACCTGTTTCAGCTTCCATCTCCCTCTTGATAGAGTGTGGATAATAAGTTCCGTGCCTCCCTCATAGGTCCATTGGAATTGTCAAATGAAGAACTGAAATTGCTTAGGAAAACTTAGTATATTGGCCATCAGTTGCACAGGTGTTGAATGGGCTCCTTCGGCTGACATTCTTCCATGACTACTTAATCTGAGTTTACTTAATGGGTTGGACAGATAAGGATTAAACATTGGGCTTTATGGCCCTTATTTTAGCGCTTTTCACTTGCTCATCTTTGAAAATGCAGTCGCCTCTGGGTTAGCAGCTACTTAGCCCATTTCTGAACAGATGGTAGGCCTCTGGTACTGTAACAAATCTGTATTCAGCCCCCTGCTTTGATCCCGAGGGATCTGTTCTTCAGCAACTTTCTCAGAAGGGAGTATTTTTCAGGCTAGCCTTTGTTGGACAGGGCATCCTTCCAGGAGCTTAAGGGTCCTTGAGACAGTTCTGCAACTGCATCTTGTCCATTGTTACCTAATGCTCTTTTGAACCAGGTGGTACAGGTAGCATTAAATCAAAGCTGCAATTCTCAAGTGACCCAGCATCACTCTTTGTATATAGATCGTCAGAACATCTGCTCAGGAGCCACTGTGGTAGTTGGTGTGACTAAACTCATGACACTTACTACTTCTCACATAAACTATATGGGGACTTTTCAGCAACTTAGATTTGAGGACATATGTAGCAATGATAGCTCAAGCCACCTGCCTTCCTCTGATTTGAGTAAAAACTTAGTGCTTCATCCTGCAGCCTCACAATTCTATGATTTGGCTGGAATGTGGAATTCAAGCTGTCAGTGTTTCTGAAACAATTTTCTTCGGTGAACTCTTGGTGTGATTTGTCAGCAAGGCAGTTCTGTCGTCTAATAGGACCCTTTAGGGACCCTAAACTGAGGACTTTAGCTTTGTTACTTTCACTGAACCAAATTATAAGTGGTTCTGATGAATGAGCCAAGTGTTTCTGTTGTGACCTCCAGGACAAGGGAAATTGATCCTTTACACATGACCTAGTACTTATCAACTTTTAGAAATCTAATCTGTAGAGGGTATTACTGTCACTGTCATTGTATGTTCCGACTAAGATTGCTTGGGCATCTTAATTTTGTTTTGGATTTATATGTTGCCCTGCCTTGAAGATCCCAGAGATATAAATGAGTTCAGAGGAACATCATCTTACCCATGGTCAGTGACTTATTTGGACACAATTCCGGACTTTTATTTTGTTTCCATTCTTACTGAGATGAGACTTTTGGCCTTTTTAAGGCTAAACTGAGGGTGGGGATGCGAGTGGAGACAGACATGGAGGGAAGAATATTGATTGTAGGTTTCATGAACTTGCATAGTAGGCTTATCTTAGTAAAAATGTTCATCAGTACAACCGAAGTCATGTTGTCTTCTGCTTTTCCTACGGATTAACCGTGCTTTTGTTCGTCATCTCAATTGCAGGTGTGTTCATCCTCGAGGAGGTGTGATTCAGAGTGTTTCTTCGTGGAAGCATGGTCCAGGCACGCAGTATGTTAGCACCCGGCAGACACAGTCATGGACTGCTGTGACTCCCCAGCAGACTTGGGCTTCACCAGCAGAAGTTGTTGACCTTACCTTGGATGAGGATAGCAGACGTAAATACCTACTGTAATACAATGTCACTGTGTTTCCTCTGCACTGTTCCCTTCTACTTCCTCCTCCTATTTGTGACACGGAAGTTCATTGTCATAGCTTCAGCTTCAGAAGCTGTTTGTGGCATTTGTAGAATTGAAACTCATGGAAAATCCCACCCCCCCCCCTTTAATTAAAAGAAGTCATTTAGGAAGATAACTTAACCACAGAAAAAAGAATTTCTTTTCTTCTTTCCCATAGTAGGAATACGGGAATGATGAATTTTATTAGACAACTTCATTTTACTTGGTAACTTTTAACCTTAGAAAACTCCGTCTTCCTTTTAGAATAATGTTTTACTTACCAGGTAAAATGGGTTTTCAGTTTTTGAATCTTATATTTATTTTTCTGTATAATGAAATTAATATCTAAACTTGACCACTATCTGCCCACCCCATTGGCACTCATCTTAGGGCATTCACACACGTTATCATTCAGGTCCTTATTGGCACCTCGTAGGGCATGTGCATTTAAAAACTTGTCCTTAAAAATAGAAGACGAAAATATTTAAAACTATTTTTTCTTTTAGCTTAAGTCTTCTGTCTTCTTTCCTTTGTTTTTGGTTGACTTCCCACAACACGAATAATTGACATTTTCTGTTTATGAATACTACTAAGGTGACTTAGTTGGTCTCCTTGTTGCAATAATTCATAACTCTTTGGAAAAAGTCTCCTTTGGGGCAGAGGCATTTCGGATAGATACCCACCATGAGGTTTTCTGGGCATCTGAAGAGAGTACTGAGAGATCAGTGGGGAAATCTTTCTCTCTCAACTTTTGTTCTCATGTAACAGGAGAACATAGAAACCTGTTACCTAGGAAAAATGTGGAAAGTTGTGTGGCTTCTAAGGCTACAGGCACTTGCAAATGAGAGGAAAGTGCCTTCTTTCATAGCTGGTCTCTCTATAAAGTGTGTATAACGACTGATTTTAACACTTGAGCTGAAGTGGACCTGATGCTGTATTTGGGTATTTTTCTCCTCTACCTTCTAAAAAAATTACTATAATAAAAACAAAAATATATCATAAGAAATCAGATACAAAGCACATAAATGGCATTGTAAGTTTTACAGTATTTAAAAGGAATAGCAAAGGGTAGTAGGAGCTTCAGGGATTTCAGGAAATGCCAGCATTGGAGTTTTGTGGCATTAGTTACTACCTTTTTTCCTTTAACATGTTGTAGTTACTAGTGAGTTATTTTAAAAGCAATACCTGGAGTTAGAACACTATGTATTGTGCACAGCGGGGAGCGAAGTAATTTTGGCTTAGAAGACCTCACCTTTTGTTTCCTTTTTTTGTTTTTGTTTCCATTGTTACTGTGGCTGTGGCCCTTGCCTCCCTCTCCAAACGCCTCGGTGGCTCTTCCTTATAAGAATATGAGAACTACCGTTGGCAGTTGCCATTCAGCAAACACACATTTACCAAGTGCCTGCTCTGCGTAAGGCACTGTGAGGGGTAGGTGCTGTGGGGGCTGCTGAGATGAATGGGACACACCCCGCATGTACATGCATCAGAGTCTGCCTGGCTCCACCTGTCTGGCCTTTCCATTTCTTTTCCTTCTTTTTTGGTAAAGACAAGTTAATTCCTTTACCTTTCTTCCTGTTAATTCTCCTGTACACGCCTTCTTCTATGGGAGCGTATTTGAGCATGTGTTCTTTGATCTTCTCTGATAGCATCTCATTTGATCTGGCCTCTGTTCTTCATCAACTTTTTATTTTTCCTCCAATTTACTTTTACTAGATCAGGCTTTTCAGATCATGAACCTCCAGCTTTAGCACCTCATGTATCAGTATCTCACATGGCCACAATTCTAGACAAAAACCAAAGACCCAGAGGCCAGAGCGAAATAGGACCTTCTGCAGATTCACTACTGGTGTATCCTTGGACCCTCACGTTTTACTTTAGGATTAATTTATTGAATTTTACTGTTACACATCGTTTTTGACTTGAATTAAAATCCTAGACAAAGCAGAAATGTACAATTTCTGGTCTGTGTTTTCCAGGAAAATCAATGGGAAGAGAAGAGAGTGGATTATATGACTTGAAATCTTTGCAGCTTATTTCCTTTCCCCACGCCCCCACCCCAGGATCAGGGCAGAGCCCCATTTTAAAGAATGTTTTTGCATTACCTATTCTTATGTTAACAGTATGTTTTTCCCAATTCCATACAGCAGGTGATTTCCCATGACATATTTTCTTTAGTCCCTAACAGTCATCCTCTAAAGAGAGGACTTTTGTGGTGTGCTGTTGTGCATTGTGGATTGGGGAGCAGAGAGTAGAGTTGTAACCAAGCTCTTTTTTGGCCCTTTGCATTTATATCAGGTTGCACTTTCCCCTCACTGGCTCCTATTCTAGCTAACTACCTGACTTGATGCAGCAGAACAGAAATTTAGGTATCAAGATGCAAAAAGGGGAGGAAGAGGGATGGTAGAGACAGTCAACTCTCTTTCCTACTAGGTGGGGGGCTTTCCCACCTAATAACTAACTAGAGAGAGACTGTGTTTCAACTCTTTCACTCCTCTATCTAGAAGAATGGGGATGTGATTTCAGGCAAGATATTAATGATAAAAGTCTGTGATACATAACTTCTGTAACGTGAAATTTCTTTTAAAGGGATTTTTTTAAAACCAAAGTTTTGCATTCGGTAGCATAAGTAGTACTTCATGCTTCACAGGACATTGTTCAAAATAGTCTCTGTTAAAATGGTACAAGCGGGTCACAGATTGGTTTATGCCACTGAGGTTAAGTTTCCCTCCCCTCCAATTTAAAAAAATCAGAGCAGTGACCTAGCTATTGCATCAGCATGACTGCCCTGTAACTTATAATTGCTGCTCTTCAGTAATTGTCTTTCATTTTGATGGTAGGGGCCAGAATGAATGGACTCCATTATTCTTTATAATTGAGCATCCCACGAACTCTGCTTTTATTGTTGTTAATTGTGAATATGAACCATCTGATTTGCAAATGTAGTCGTTTGTTCATCATTACTTTTAGCAGGTTAGTACCATAGGTAATTTAAATTTGTTGCCTGCTTTTTATACTGTCACAAGGTGTTTGAAAAAGCTGGGGACACAATTTTGTCTTTTAGTTTGAAACTTTTTTTTTTAAAGGCAAAGAGCCCCTAATCCCTGTTCTCCAGTATGTGTATGATGTGACTTCCATGTATATATAAAAATGACTGTGCCCTAACCAAACTTCCTCAGATTGTGCACTGTTTAAAATAATCACATATTTTAGTCCAATGCTGTTGTATTTTTTCATTTTATTTAAAACACTACTTATTCTTTTAACAAATTTTAAAGGGTAGTGATCTTAAAAAAAAAAATCACTGGATAACTAGGAAATATTTTTGTTGTTTTGTTTTTTAAAGAGTACAAAGGTCATTGAAGCCTTTTGCTCCTCTTATGGTGAAAACGAAATGTTAGCCATCGTATGGCTAGGAACCAATGCACTTGGCGGTGAACAGACATGCTGTTGCTGGAGTGTGAGCGTGAACTTGATGCAGTGACGACAAATCATTGCTTAGAATTAATGTTTTCAAATGTGCAACTCTAGTTTTTAAAACAAAATTTGGTTCTTTACATTCATTATTTAGTTTCTGTTTCCATTTAGTATTTAATGGTCTTTGGAGAAAAAAATAATAAAACAGAGTGTTATATATATTTTTTGGTGCAAGATAAGATTTTCTGTTTTTTGAAATAAGTCTGTAGCATAAAGGTTAAACTATTTTAAGACAAAATAAAATAGAGTGTATTTAAACAATGATATTTTCTGAGGATTTTTTTTTTTTTTTTCTATCTGCTTCAGTTAATTAGGTGGTGCCTAGAGCAGCTCCCTCTTTACTTTTTGGATGTGCAAGTGGATTGTATTTTGTTAACTGATCTTATTGTTATAAGATGCCTGCTTTTTCCAAGCAATAGCTGTATCCTGTTCCCAAGATGTTTTGCAAGTAACCTGTGGTGTGTCAGATCTTGATTAAGAAAATTGAATTAGCTTTCCTGTAGCCCCTGCCTCCCTTTGCAGCTAGGACCAGTGAGATTTCAAAGAGGGCCAAAGGCTTCTAGTTCTAGGCACCTTTGTTCCTGGGAACAAAACTCAGCTTCTGGTCACATCCCAGAGATCAGCGCATGAGGGTACGGTACGATGCTGCAACTGCATGTACTTTGCACTTGGTTGGACGCTGAAGCAAGTATATGATGTTTGAAAAATATCCTAAAGAACTTTTCCCCTAGTCTGCTTCTTTATTTGTTTATTAAAAAAATTATTTTTAGAGATGGGATCTCGCTCTGTTGCCCAACCTCGAGTGCAGTGACGTGATCATAGCTCACTGCAGCCTCGAACTCCTGGGTTCAAGTGATCCTCCCACATCAGCCTCATAAGTAGCTGAGAGTACAGATTTGAGCCACCGTACCTGGCCCTCGTTTGATAGAAACTACCATATTAATATTTCATGACTTCTATAACTTATCTTTGTATAAAGGTGAATGGGGAACCAGGGAGAGTGAGACCTGTCTTTATTAAAATACCCAACTCCTGAATGTCTTATTTTTCTCAAGAATTTTTAGTTCTGCTTGTACTGGAAAGTTACCTGTTAACAGTTAGGAAATACACTGCCAATAAGGAGAAAGTGTTTTTAGTTTTTTAAAATGGTTCTTTTATACTACCTTGTATCTGACCCCCAGGCATATTAGTACTTAGGAGAAACTTCTTTGACTCCAGAAGAAAATTGTTTACCTAGGACCTTACTTTTGAACCCGTTTGCCCTTGGATTCTGCTTTTGAAGAACAGACTAGGCACATGTAAGTAAAATAATCAATGGCTACTACTTTATGTCTTTCGGACTGCTTCTATTTTTTGCTGGCTATTAGCCTTCCTTTTCTTATTGGCTTGTTTTTCACAGTAGATGCCAACTTATAACTTTAGTCCAAACACAAAAGTTACAGGTAGATCTCTACCACATATATAAATATTTCTTCAGCTTCATTTTTGCAACCAAAGTAAAGTGAATTTCCTTTAGGTTTGGTTTTAACCATATTACTGCTCTGCAAAGGAGTAATCCTCCTAGGTCGTTAGTAGGTATGATTTTCCTTGCTTCCTTGACTTGATGTTTGAGAGCACTGAATCACAGAATTAGAGAAGTTTTGAGCTACAGTGGAACCCTGC